GTCCAATGATCTTCTTGTCTAGAGAACAGGACTGACTCCCTGTGCTGGGTAGGATGACTATCGATGAAGCACAGCAGAAACGAAATCAGACCTTACCTCCTCTGTCCCTCGCTCTTCCCTGATGGCTCAGCTTTGGGATTTTCCCCCAGTAACACCACAGCTTAAGGCATTTCTTTCCTCTCTCTGGAATTCCTCTTCAAGTCCTCATCCAGCAGCAGCTTGGATCTCCGAGGTCTTACAGGTTGTAAAAACTCATGTTTGCAAACCCTCCCAAGTCCGCCCACGTGCCTTTTTGCGGGGAGGATGAAGGGAACCTCTTAATCCAATTCCCCTATTCTGTTTTTACGGCATACGTGTAAACGTCACAGACTTGTGTCGGGAACAACAGGAGAGCCCCTTCTCTGCTGCCCCGGCCCCAACAATCCCTCGCCCAAGAAGAACTCACGTGACCACTTGTTTCTTTGGATTCAGAAATGTATCGATATACATAATTATAATTGCAGCGTCTCTTTTTTGATTTTTTGATTTGGCGTCATAATCAAGTTGCATATGTCCGTGGCAAACAACCCAACGGCCCAGACGTGGGTAAAGTGACAAGTAAAAGTCCTTTTCCCCCACCCTCCTCAACTACTCAGAGCCAGCTGCCACCAACAATGTATATTCTTCCAGAAAAATCTGAGAGCCATTTCAAATAGATGCACTAAGTTTTAAAACTGTTGAATAGGCAGTAAATTCATGTGGTTCAAAAACAGAAAATATTTAAAAAGATATACGATAAAAGGCTCTCTCTCTCCTACTCCTCCTTCCCTGGTTTCACACTTGCCACCGCAATCTCTTGTGTGGCCTTTTAGATTCTTCTCCTAACTATAAACAAGGCTAAATGTGCATTTGTATCTTACTCCCTTCCACATAAAAAAAATAAAAAACTTTTGCATTTTGCGTTTATTTCCCACATCGTACCTTGTGCATCTGAGAGTCTTCCATTTTTCACGGTTGCATAGTATTCCATTGTCTGCGGTTCCATAATTTATCGAACTGGTCTGTTGACGGACACGGGGACTGCATCTAATGTCTTTATATTACAAAAAATGAATGACTTCGCACATGTACTATTTTGGATGTGCGCTGCTGTAACTGTCGCATGCAATGCCAGAGTCGGGACTGCCGCATGCAAGCGTGAGTGAGCTCATGGCTTTGAGAGGCCATCCTCGGGGACACATTCGTTTACACCGTCCCCAGCTCCCTAACACCTGTGGGGTCTTATTAATATCGTGGGTGACAGATGGTATCCCAACGCAGTTTTATTTTGTATTTCTTTCGTCATGAGTGAGACTGAACGTCTTTTACTGTATTTAAGACGTATTTGTATTTCTTTTTCTGTGAACTGTTTCTTCATATCCTTTGTCTATTTTTTGATTTCGGTTTGTAGCTTCCTTGGCTCTCTGCCTGTGATAAAAATTGCAAATATTTTTTCCAGTTTGTCTTTTTGACTTTATTGGCATGCTATGGTTATTGTTTTTTGGGTGGGTTTTTTGTTTTTTTTTTTGGCATGGAAATTTTTTTTTGAAATTGAATTTTCAGTCTTGTCTTTGCATCATAATTAGAAAGGCCACCTTCATTCCATGATGATAAAGGAATCTTTTCGTGGTTTATCTTTTTTTAATCAAAAATGGTTGCTGAGTGTGTCTCATGCTTTTCACCACCTCTGGAGTTGATGGTATGACTTTTCTTGTTCAATCTATGAATCCAATGAATTATATTAATGAATTTTCTAAATTATATTAACGAGTTTTCCTGAACCATCCTTTCATCCCAGGACTAAATATATTTAAACAAGTTGTATTTTTCCTTTAATGCACTGCTAGATTCTGCTTGGTAATGTTTTATTTTGACTTTTTCATGAATCTTCACATGTAAGATTGGGCTGTGGTTTCTTTTCTTCTCTCCTTCCTTCCTTCCTTCCTACAAATTTTGACAGGTTTTGGTATCAATGTTATACTCATTTCATTGAAAAGAATTTGGCCGTGTTTTCTTCTGCCCTGCCTCAGTTTACATAAGGGAGGGCTTTTCTTCCTTCATCTGTGGGTCTGGACATCATCATGTAAGCTGCCTGGCCCTTGGTTTGCAGGAAGGCTGAGAAACAAGGTCAC